GTCCACATGAGACAGGGTAAAAGAGTTACACACCTACAGCTATGGTGAATATAAGGTGTCCTCAAGTGGAAAACACCACTACTTCCATTTTAAAGGAATCCAACTTGAGGGTAATTTTCAGTGCAAGATAATAAGGTGGCCAGAGTCTTATCAGACTTGACTATATCTGCAAAACTGGAAAAACATGTTCTGATGCAAAGGGGGAAAAAAAAAATCCAAAGTCCACCCTTTAACCCAAGCCCAAGATTCTTTCCTTGCATGCCTGGCCAAGAGCAAAGTGGTCATTCTGCAATAGAGAGATGGATGTCAATGACAGCCTGATACCAGAAATGCTTTCTTTCCATTATATAAAGGAATTCACCAGCAAGTTAAAAGATCATGCAATTCAGGAAATAAAGACCAAATGTTTTCACTCAAAGGCACTTTTATTAGGTTGACAAACTTGAAAGGTTTCTACATCCTGCTTGCGGGAAGGATGAAGCACTGTAACAGGCTTCAAAAACCTGGAGTGGCCTTGGAGTGGGAAGCCTCCTAACCTCCCCGCTGACTCAGGAGATGCTGCCGTGGGAGGGTTTGCCCAGCAGCAACCCAGAAATCCACTGAGTCGATGGGAGATGGGTGTCAGAAAGGCACAACAACAAGCCTGACTAATGCACATAAAAGGGATCATCTCATTCTCAGCCCAAGAACCACGCGGTAAGCAAAATCTCCATCTCCCTGTTGGAGCTTCCCAAGTCCCCACTGCAGCTCGGCTCCCCTGTGGGCTTCAGGTTGCTCACCTTGTAGGTTCCAAGGGGTCTCATCATCAACACTGTCTTTCCCACCCCTGATGACAGCTTTTTTCCTCAGGCCCCCCTCACCTCTGAGCAAATTGGACCTGGACTTGATCTGTGGGCTGTGTTGCCACACATCCCCTCCATCAGCATGACATCACCTCTAGGATCAATAAAGTCTCCCAAGCTCTGCCACCTCTTATCAGTTCATGGACCACTGGCATCGCCACTCATCCTGTCACCTGGGCTCCTCCTATCTCTCGGCCTGTTTCCATATGGGCTCTGCTGCACACCATTTTCCTTACACTGTGAATCACATCACTCCCCAGTTTAAGTCAACCAGGGTGGGAGGAATCACTTCCAATGTTCTGTGTTACAGTAGGATAACTAGAGTTGACCACAAGTCATTGGAGATGTCCAAATAACTAGGAGGGATGATTTAGAATAGTCCCAACACATATGAATGATGTATAATCCAAGGTGATAGATCTGCCAATTGCCAAAGTCTGATCACTACACATTGAAGATGTATTGAAATGATACACTGTAAGCCAGGCACAGTGACGCACACCCGTAATACAAACAGCTCAGGAGGCTGAAGCAGGAGGATCTCAAGTTCAAAGCCAGCAAGACCCTTTGCAACTTAGTGAGACCCTGTCTCAAAATAAATATAAAAAGGGGCTGGTGATGTGGCTTAGCAGTTACTCACCTTTGGGTTCAATCTGTGGTATCTAAAAAAAAAAAAAATAACACACTGTACCTCCTACATATGTACAATTATTATATTGATTTAAATATATATATATATATATATATATATATATATATATATATATAATTTTAAAAAGCATCCAGTGGATTCTTGCCTTTAGAATAAAATCTGAACTATGTACAAAAACTACCTGCCATCTGCCAGCCTCTTTGACCTCACCTCCTTCTTTCCAGCCACCTGGCAAAGACACCCCCAGTCACCCTAACCAAAGTAGGCACACCCCTGCCCTACTTCCCTGTCACTTTGACACATTACCCTGTTTTATTTTATTCTAAAGCTCTTGTGTATGCCTCTGTTTATTATTGTTTTCCCTCACCCTGACAATAAGGACCTTCTCTGAAGAGTTGATGCTCTATGCAGAGCAGTCTGGCATGCTACTGGGCATTTTGTTGAATGAAATAATAAATGAAAAAAGAAAAAGAATAAACATAATCTACAATTATATTAAATGGAATTCCAGTAAAGTACTGATTTTATTTGTAAGCGTGAGCCCCTGCTGTTTGAAGAGCCATATCTGTTTGAAGAGCTGGCTGGGTGACTTTAGAACCAATTACTCAGCATCTTTACTTTCAGTTTCATCACCTGGGAAAGGAGCATAGTAAGAGCACAGTAATCTTATAAGAGCATAGTAATCTTATAGAGTCCGGAGGCAGGAGGAAGGAGCAGTACCTAAATGCTGAGCACTATACCTAGCACATGCTATATATTCACTTAGTGTTAAGTGTTAGTGGAGGATGGTGTTCCAGTAATCTTAAAACAAGAATATTAGTTTTATTATGGAAATTAATGTACCACCCAAGTAGTGGTTCCCCAAAACTGAATGACGGGATGAAAAATCATAGCTAAGTTTTTCTTCTCATCCCCACCAAACTACACTACCCTCCAAGATAGGCATCACGCCTGCCTCTTCAGTCCCCTAGAATACCCAAGAATCTTGCCAACCATTATCTCTGTGTTTGGGTGTCTCCTTGGTACAGCAGATGGTTTTGATTAAGAAAAAGAGCTCGAAGATCAACTTCCTTTATGTAACCTGGCCTCAACTTTCCCACCAACCTCATATTCAACTAAAAATGAATTAAGATTTCTCTCTATTCAGAAAAAAAAAAAAAGTACAAGAGAGGATGAAATGATTGTGAACATGGAATCTGGAGTCACACTGACTGTGATTTCAAATGCTCACTACTAACTCACTGGTCACTTGGTGTCTCTATGCTCAGGTTCCTGGTCTGCAAAACAGTAAGGATCATGCCATTGCGTGCATCACAGGCTTGTTGTAAACACTGTATGAAAGCACTCAGCATGGTGGCTAAAGCCTAGGAAGTGACCATGATGATGACGATGAGCTTCAGCTCAAAACCTATAGTATCTTTCCGAAGGGCAAGTCTACTCTTCACATATCTGCTCTAACAGCTTTAATGAATGCACATTGCCTATGAGGGAAAGTTCAAAATCCTGAGTGAGGGATACTAGGCATAGTACAGATTCTTCATATCGAACTTTTCCAACTTCATTTCACATCATTCCAAAGGCTCCCTTCACTCAGATCCAGAATTTGTGCTTCAAGCAATCAATACTTTTTACCAACCCATGAGCAAACCCCCATCCTATGGCCTTTTATTTCTCCAGCTATTTCACTTACAAAATCCCCTTCCTGCTCCTTTCTACCTGATGATCAAGACACTCCCACCCAAAATATGTTCCCTTTGGTTCCCTAAAATTTTCAGGTAGTCAGTGGCTCCTACCTCTAAACTTTCACATCATAACGGAGAAAACTGGATATACATACAATCCTTGGTTGTCATTTGCTGGCTTAACTTCTCTGTCTCTTCTTGATGACGCCTTGAGGGCAGATTCTTGTTTGCTTCTTTTTGCATAATTCCTGACTTCCAAGAGATGTTCAATCAATGAGCAGTTGATTGGACAAAGAGATAGTCAATTCCAGCATAGGATACCAAAACTGCAAAAATTATTCTGAAAGTCAGAATCCTAAATGAAATCAGTTGCATGATAACCATTTTTTGAACCACAATCTTGTCCATTTACATGTCTTTTGGCCTCTAGTTCCTCTATGTTGTATTATTTCTCTGCCCTTAGAGTTTGAGCCTTTTTATCCAAAGATAAATCAATATGTACATACTTTTAAGCTTTTCCAAGTAAATAGTTATAAAGGTTTTACTGGTTTAATAGTTTCCCCAGTCTAAAGGGATTCAAATACATCATACTAAGCTATGACTTTATTTATTTTTTTAAAAAATTATTATTAAGGTTTTAGTAGATCAGATGCAATTTGGAAATGTCTCTTTTCTCCTGGACAGGAGAGTCTCTAAGATATTGCCAAATCTCTAGAGAACACTTGAACTATGAAGTTCTAGTGCTCTAGAGAACACTTGAACTATGAAGCTAATCTATGAAAATAAACAAGTGTCAAGGAGTCCGTGATCAAGTAAGTTTAGGGGAAGACACATGTTCCATCTATTTACTGAAAAGTCACAGAGAATGTTTGCATAGTAAAGGCTTTGAGAGACCCACCAATGAAAAACTCAGTATTTCCCAAGAAGTTAAAACAACCCTTTCATGTCCCTTGGAATAGAGTTCATGGAACTCACTCTGGCCAATACTGCACTATTTCACCTCTAAATGTCCCAATACAAATAGTCTTCTGATCATAAATAATCTTAATTCATACGTGGTTGAATGGAGGTTTAAAGGGCACTGGGCACTATCACCCATGCAGGTGTTCACACCTATCCACGTATCCCTGACAAGTTATCACTAAAGCATGTATAAAGGGGATAGAGAGGAAATGACTTGTTGCAGATGGCAGGAGTGCCTCCTTTTGCAGAACCAAAATCTGTTTCTCTATAGATTCCATCCATTCGTCTTATTTGAGCTTCTTGGAGTTGCAAAGAAAAAAGCAAAAAAAAATCATCACTTTTTTCAGTCAGAAGCTTAAACTATTACATAGAATCTTTGGTTGGGAATAGAATAGCAATCAAAAAACCTACTTCCCTCTCCATCTGAAAAGGAGACCTCCCCCCACCACCCAAAAAAGAAAAGAAAGAAGAAAAAAAAACTCACAGTGAAGATTTGCAGATACCTAGCATACCACGCCATTATTAGCAATGTGCAATGATTAGGAGATAATGACCCAGAGCCTTTGAAGACTGAAATGAAGTTCCCGTGCAGTGACACCTGTCCAATGTGAAGAGTCCTAATTTGACAACAAAACAACCTAAATCCCTTTTATGGGGTTAGGAGTTTGTCTTAGGTAATAAACACTTAAGTAATTAGGTGGATTTTTATGGAGAGAGCTATAAACTGAAGCATGGGGAAAAAATTTGGATAATAGGCTAACGCCCATGAAGGTGGGTATATAAGAGCCAGGGCAGAGGAGAGGAGCATTGAGACACCTAGACACTTCTCAACAACCCAACAAAAACCCAACTCCCAACACCATGTCCTGCTGCATTGCCCGCTGCTGCAGTGTCCCCACCGGCCCTGCCACCACCATCTGCTCCTCAGACAAGTCCTGCCGCTGTGGAGTCTGCCTGCCCAGCACCTGCCCCCACGAGCTTCACCTCCTTCGGCCCGTCTGCTGCGACAACTGTCCTCCACCCTGCTGTCAGCCTGATACCTATGTGCCAACCTGCTGGCTGCTCAACTCTTCCCACCCAACTCCTGGCCTGAGCGGGATCAACCTGATGACCCACGTTCAGCGTGGCTGTGAAAACCCCTGTGAGCCCTGCTAAGAAGCCAAGTCTTCCACAGGTGCAGTGACATGGCTGCTCAGCGGCATCCACAGCAGCTGGCCTTCAGCATTTGCTCCTGCCTACATCAGAGCTAAATCAATCCCAGCCGCCAGGGCCGAGTCTTAAGGATTTGCCCGACTTCTTACCACCTGGCTTCTCTGGTTTAGTGGGAGACCTCTTTCTTTTAGGCGATTTCACTGCTCTTTGAGAAACAACCATTTTTGACTCTTCACTAATAAACTTCATTCTGGCTTAGCAAATATAGCCTTGTGAGTGTCTATTTCTTTGTTTCCTCTCAGGGAAAGTGGAATGCCTATCTCTGCTTGAACCCAGGATTCACCCCAGAGGAATGTGAGCTGTAATGGTGGAATTCATTGAAAAATGAGATACTGGTTCTTTTTGAATGGGCTGAAAAGTGAAAAATTCAGAAGGTCCTTCTAGAGGCTCTTTTCATTTAATAGATATTTTTGAAGACTTCCACTGTGCCCAGCACTATGCTAGAATCTAGAGATAAATATTATATTTTTAAAATATTTGATAAGTCTAGTTTCCATTGATTTTTCTTCCTTAATTGACTAAACACGTTGATCATTGTGCTGGCATGCAGAAATAATTTTCACTCCCTTGGTCGAGAGTCCTCATAAAATTCCGAGATAAAAACACAAAACAATTTGAAGACATATATATACATCCTTTTCTTAATATATGCTGTCTTCCAGAAAAATCAGTTCTGAATGAACATGATTAACTGATTTTTGGACAAGTGGATTAAAACCATGTATCACATTCCTGTGATAACTCTGCTGGCTAGACCTGGTGGGGCTCTGCTGCCCTTGGCTTCCCTTATGCCCTCAAATGACTTGCATTTGTCATAACTCTGCTTACAAGTTTACCAGTCCAAGTGACATTTACCAATCCTGTCATCGAAATATATTTAAAATATCAGACCACAGTGCAGTATTCTGTTTATACCAGTCTCCTAATTCTGAAAGCAAAAACATACCATTCCTCTTAGAATCAAATTTATATGATACAAAACTTTTAGTTGCCTAAAAAAAAAAAAAAATCCAAATGCAGTGAGGTCTTCTCAGGAAGGACTCAGAGTGTAATCTAGTTGTATGTTTTCTTGAATTTACCCTAGGACTTTGGGGCAGCTGTTTTCTCTGAGTCTTGATGGCCTCATTATTACAGTAGTTTACTCTCTGTTCCTGGTTTCCCAGAGCCTCCGTTTTCTTATTATTCTTCTCTGTCCTGCTTATTTCTCAGGATTATTGGGCAGCTCAAATGAGCAGAGTAGAAACCACCACATCCACAGCATTGAGACTAATGGTGAGAGCACACGTCAGACTCTCACCATCACTGCACATAGTGGTTCCCAGCTTTGTCTCCAAAAGCCATCTTTTTTCGTTTTTGAAATATGTATTTTCCCAAATGTATTTCTTCAATAAAAATATATTAACTCCTTCATTTTGTTCATAAATACATTTATAAGTATCACTGTGGAATTTAGGATCAATGTAAGGTAGCCACTCTTACCATGTCAAGTTTGTAAGGAATAACTCCTCCAAGTGTGCTATTACTACTACCTCTATGAACATTTTGCAGGCAAGAGCCCTTAGCTAGTTAAAAAATTTTAAAAAAGAAAAACCTGAACCCAAGAGATGTGTGTCTTAGTTCTAGTTCTGCCATGGGCTGCCTCTGTGACCCTGAGCAAGTCACTGAAGCTCTCTGGGTCTCAGGTCTTAAATCAGTCAAATGGACCGGCTGATCACATCATCTCAGAAATCATTTTCGGTGTTAACAAACTGGGTTCCAGATCACCCAGAAGACTCTATATAACAAGTACCCCATGGCTCTAAACAACCCCATTCCACCTTGCTACTTTTAGTGCTTTCAGTAGCAAAAACTGACATCTCCACTGGATGCCCTAGTAATGCCTTACATGCAGAATCTCATCTGTCCTTAACAAAATCACACAACTACCATTATTCTCCCCGACTTATAAGTGAAAAAAACTGAGGTTGAGAAAGATTATTCCTGGGCTAGGGTTGTGGCTCAGGGGGTGCAGTGTTTGCCTAGCATGTGTGAAGCAATGGGTTTGATTTTCAGCACCACATATAAATAAAATATAGATCCATCGACAACTAAAAAAAAAATATTTAAAGAAAGACTATTCCTTCCAAAAGTTACACACATTCTAAGTGACAGAGAAAGAATACTAAACTTAGAATTGCCTGAACCTGAAATCCCTTCTGTGTCCACTATCTCCCCTGCAGACATCAACATGTCAAAGAGAAATTTAATCACACGTGACTCTTTATTCAGGAGAATTCATGGCTCTCTTTATTCATATGCCACATGGCACATTCTCTGCTGTCCCTCCAAATTGTGTATTGGTTGTACACAGTAACTTGGCTTGCTCTGAGTAATTATAGTGTAAGACAAGATGAGCGTAGTCAAGGAGTGTAAGAAAAACTCTTTGTGTTTCCAAAGTGAGAATAAATCATATTTAAATAATTTTAAAGCTAGACTTTAAGTACTGACTATCGATGTCAGACAGGAGCACTGGCTGGCTCATTGACCTTGAATTGAAATGCAGAACATTTGGCCACCCAAACACATTTTCAGTTTTCTCAATGAGCATCAATAAAACCTAGACCAAGGAAGAACAAACTACCCTTCAAGTTAATAATTGTTTATTCTTGACAATGGAATAGAAAACCTAGGCATTTCACTTTTCCTTCAAATTGTTCTTGGCATCCAGGACTTTCTTTTCATTCTAGAATAATCTAGACCCTGATCATTGCCAGTCTCCCAGTTGACCTTGAGTTAAATATTCTATGCCCTTCCCTCTGCTCAATCTGTACCTTTGCCAGACCAAGGTTCTGGCCTGATAAATATTGGTTAAATGGAATTGCTCAAAACGTGATAACAATCCAAGATTTTTGTTTTTACTGAATCAAGGCTCAGCTCTTCGGGGTGGTTGTTAAGACCGTGAATAATGTGGGACAGTCATTATCACCCAATCTTACTTGCTACTGATCTAAAGAAACACGTAGCTTACACTCTAGTCATAATTATGCCTTCGATACAATAGTCAAGAGCATGTTCTCTGAAAGTCTGTCTTGCTTTAAATCATACCTCTATCATTTATTTGGCCAACTGTCAAATAAGATTAAAAACAAATCGTGCCTCATAAATCTGTAGGGCAGGTTAAATTAATTAAAACATATGCAATTAAAAATTCTGCATGTAAGGACAATGTGTACTAATAATCAAACTCTCTAAGTCTACCTTTTTATACTCTGCTCTGTGATGTTGGGGTGAGGACTCCTTTGGCTGATTTTCTACAAGGTTCTACCTATAGAGGGCGCTAGAAGGAGCCTACAAGTCCCAAGGAAGGAAGAAGAGTCTTGTTGCCCCAGCAGCCATCATTTATCTGACAGCAGCAATGGTTCTAGTCTCTAGCTTCTTTTGGAACTCTGAAAACCAGTGTCATTGCACCTCAGAGAAACACCAACATCCACAAAATAGCGATGTTTCCCTGCAAAGGTCCAAAGCCCAGCCCTCCGGGGCCTCCCTATGAGCTTCAGAGGCAAGAGCAACACCAGGCAGTACCCAGAACCAGAGCCCAGCTCTGCAGGCCCACTTCCAAGCTTCTTGGTTCAAATAGCCCTAACCTCTTCTCTTCGTTGTCCAACCCTCAAGCGGGTCACTGCTTTCTGGGTTACCCCAGTTTTCCTTTTTTGTTATTTCAGATCTCCAATACCTAGCTAACAAATTCCCTATATTAAAATTCTCTCTGTTGAAATGTATGAGTTTACCTTGCTTGCATGTTTTCCTGAGGTAAACTTGATCCAAAAATCATGTAATAAATGCTAGCTGTAAGTATTTGACTGCCTTCCTTAAATATTAATTCTATATATTCCAGTTTCCAGATTCCACCCCATAATCAAGGCACTATGCTAGCACTGGAGATACCAAGATGAATTAGATAATGTCCCTGTTTTACAGGGGATTGCAATCTAGCAAAGATAATCAATGTATGTACAAAGTGTTATGGGTGGAGATGGGGTTCACCAAAGTCACAAAGGTAGGAGTTGCCAATTGTGTCTGGGGCAGGGGCTGAGAGTAGGGGATGGGATAGCATCATAGAAGATGTTATTGCTTTTCTTGCCTATAATGCACTTACTTACCTCTTTTCTAAGTATTTATGATCAAAAATAACTTAATCCAAATCTTCCATTAAGGTTTCTTTGATGACCTCAATTCTCTTTCATACTATCTTCTATTATGGGAATTCTTATAGTAGCCACAGAAGAACCTGCCATATATTGAATCACTTGTTCAGGCCACACAAAATGATTTACATAAGTAAATCTCATTTAATATTTATTTAGCCCTGGCAATAAAACTATAATCCGTAATTATTATTTTTCCCCAAAGTTGGTATTTGAGAACACTGAATCCCAGGGGCTAGGGTTGTGGCTCAGTGGTAGAGCACTCACCTCTCACGTGTGAGACCCTGGGTTCGATCCTCAGCACCACATAAAAATAAATAAACAAAATAAAGATATTGTGCCCATGTATAACTAAAAAAAAATAGACTTTTTTAAAAAAACTGAATCCCATGGAGATTAAAGAACTTGATCTTGGTCTTACAACTCATAATCAGAATTCAAACCTAGCTCTAAAACTCCCTCCATTCCCCTACCAAGTACTTAATTAAATGATGTTTGGATCATATGTTGGTGTATCTTCAATATTCATTTATTCCCTCAAATTTGTGAAAACACACCAACATGAACCTGGTAGAAAAAAGCACCACAGGTTTTGACTTCCCACAGGTACCAAGGATACACAATCTGAGAAGGGTCATTCCTTATCTCAGAAATATCACTCTAGATTCTTCACACTCTACAATGATCACCTGTAAGAAGAAATTCTGTTTGGTAGAACAGAGGAAAGCCAGGGCAGATATGGATGTGTAAACGTGTCAACGAGTTCATGGAGAACCATACTGACACCATTTTGAAATGGCAACAGGAAGCAAGTTTGAATGCAGCAATACAACCAAACAAATCTGAAGGAGAACTCGTCCCATGGCAGATACGTAACCTAGTGAGTTATTTGTGTAGGCTTATGCAAACAACAATAAGGAAACATTCAGATAGATAGAAGCCAAGTCCCTGAAATAGGTGGATATAAAAGACCCACCAGAGACAACTTCGTAGAAGAAAACTCTTCCTTCCTTGGCAACGAAATACCAACCTGATCCACTGTCACCATGTCTTGCTCGGATTCCTGTCTCCAAAGATGCTGCAATGTCCCCACTAGCCCAGCCACCACCATCTGCTCCTCTGACATTTGCTGTCCATCTGAGATCTGCCTGCCCAGCACCTGCCCACACAAGATCAGCCTCCTTCAGCCCACCTGCTGTGACACCTGCCCCCCGTCCTGCTGCATGCCTGATGCCTACGTACCATCAAGTTGGCTGCTCAACAAGTGCCACCCTACCCCAAATTTGAATGGGATCTCTGTCATCACCTACGTCCAGTCTTGTGAGTGTGAACCTTCTTGCTGCTAGCCAAAAATGTTTCAAAGAGCTTGCCCAGCTGAGCATAATGGTGCACACCTGTATTTCCAGAGACTGGGGAGGCCGAGGCTAGAGTTTCATAAGTTGGAGTCCAACCTCAGCAATTTAGTGAGGTCCTAAGCAAGTCATTAAGACCCTGTCTCTAAATTAAAAAATAAAACAACTGGGAATGTAGCTCAGTGGTAAAGCATCGCTGGGTTCAATCCCCAGTATAAAAAGAAAGAAAAGATGAATGAATTTGCCTACATTGCCCTAAGGAACTTCAATAATCATAAGAGCTGTTTAAGCAAATGTCCTTTAACTAAGCTCTATGGAAGATGATCTGAACTTGTGCCTTTGATTTTGAAGAAGTATTGTATCACAATTTTGAACAATGATTTCAAGGAAATGGGGGGAAAATGCTATCCCGATTGTCCTTACTTTAAAACTAAATAAACACCATTACTTGCCAAAACATGCACTGTCTTAGTGTTTAATGCTATAATTACCCGACTCTTGACACATGCATCATGAAGCCATAAATATACCCGGCAGAATTACACTTTCTGATGACATCAACATAAATCTCAGAGCCAAAAAGGAAATTGTACAGGGATACGTTGATATCTGAGGAAAACCACGTGGGTGACAAGATATGTGTTTTAAATTCCAAGGTCATCGCCTACTTTAAATTTTTATTTTTCTCCTGCCTATCTAAATAAGCTCACATGTGTCCTTTAAAAGGCAGAGAAGTTCATCAACATGGACATCAACATACTCACATTCTAATGTGTGATTTAATCCAATTCAATAAATATTTATCAAATGCCTACTGGGATCCAAGGATGGGCTCAGGTACTTGAAAGAGACAAGCAAGATTAAGATACCATTCCCACTTTCAAGGATCTTGCAGCGGAGTAAGGCAAACATAAGTGAGACTATGGTACAGAGCAGAATGAAATAGATCTAAGTGAAAAGATGGGCAGCACAGTGTGTGAGAACAGAGAAAAGAATGAGACCATCTGGAAGGATTTCATGAAAGAGATAACGTGAGCTGAAGCTTGAGGAATGAGTAGGATTTGAGAAACAGGATCAGAGAAGGACATTTTAAGCCAAAGAAACAATCTGAGGGAGGTCGCAGAGGTAGGTACAAAGTACCTAAGAGACTCGCCTTCATTTCTATATGATGTGACTTGGGATAAATGCAATATTTAAGCAAAACCTAAACCAACTTAATTAACATGGACAGGCTCTTCTTACAAATAATGGATGACACTCACTTCCCGATGACATTTAGTATTTTCCACAGATATTTTTTCGGTCATCTTCTCTTTTAAACTGATCATATATTGGTTTTGGTAAGAGCCTCTCGGAAACAACTCACCAAAGAATCTCTACTTTGTGTTTATTCGATAAACATTTGCTATCCAAAAAATTATGTCATTTAGATTTCACTAACTGAATGGGTTTGGGCTGATCACAAGGAGATGTGGGAGGATGTTGGATTCATAGAATATCACACACTGGAGATTATTCATTCCAACTACCTCACCTGCCAACCACCAAGAAGGCAAATCAAGGCCAATTGAAGTGAAGAATGTTGTATAAGGAATTCCTTAAGGAATTTACAATCTCGTTGAAGATCCAAGAAATAAACAGGCTGAACAGGAAGTCAGTCCTGTTTGACAAAATGATTTCTAGGAATACCATAGCTCTCAACTGCATGGGGTCAGATCCCCTTCTAAACCCACTGCTACTCTGTGAAATGTATGGCTTCTTCTTTCATTCCCTGTATGTATCTCACTAATGTAAAAATCAATGAAAATCAACATAGTTTTCTTTTAATAGTACTTTTCACAGAGGATAGCAGCTGGCTGGATCTTTCCTTCCAATGATTTTATACTCTGACTTACTTCAAGACTGGTGTAACTTTGAAAACAGAGCCACTAGTTAAAAAAAAATAAATAAAAACAGTAACACAATCTTTGGAAACTCAGTATAGATGTTTTTAAAATAATGAAAGTGAATTTAACCCTATTTCATTCTTTCTTCATGCTTTCTCACTAGAATCTGAATTATATCATCAGTAAATAAAGCAACTATGTTTGAGCATATAGCCAGATGAAATATTCATCTATATATAGCCATATTCTTACTGACTTTATTGAGTTTAAAATGGCCCAATCAATTATTTGAATTGCTTATTCTAAAATTAGTAATTAGAAAGCACATCATGTTACTCATACTATGTGAACCTAAGGCAGAAAAAAACCAAGAAGACTTTAACCCCTAAAACTGTAGCTGAATTCTTAGGTGCACTGATTACCCACAATCCATGCAAGGTTTAGCATACCAGAACCCTGTGAAGATAAAATGTGATGATCTTGTGACAAAAATGACAAGTCAATGAGTCAAAAACATGATTAATTTAATAAGGGCAGGAGCCCTTAATTGACAAGAAAATACCAAACAGATTACAGAATTTAAATGGAAAAGAGTGACCCAAACAAAATTAAGGATACACAGCCTTCCCATTGGACCCACACCTTCTGGGGAGGTATATAAGAGCCTCAAAGTGAGAGGAGACATTTGAACCTCAGAAACCTCACCTTCCTAAGAGACCCAAGGCACACCTGACCCCCAACGCCATGTCCTGCTGTATTGCCCGCTGCTGCAGCGTCCCCACCGGCCCTGCCACCACCATCTGCTCCTCAGACAAGTCCTGCCGCTGTGGAGTCTGCCTGCCCAGCACCTGCCCCCACACCATCTGGCAACTGGAGCCAACCTGCTGTGACAACTGCCCCCCACCCTGCCACATCCCTCAGCCCTGTGTGCCCACCTGCTTCCTGCTCAACTCCTCCTATCCCACCCCAGACCTGGAGACCATCAACCTCACCACCTACACTCAGCCCAGCTGTGACCCCTGCGTCCCAAGATGCTGCTGACCGGTGGCCACTTTGCTCAGTGTCTGATACTGAAGGAAGCCCCCAGATGCTGCCCAGCCAGTTTTCACTTGCCTTGGTAGTTTAGCAGATGTTAAGGTAGACCAGATGGCCCAGATATGGAAACCTTACTTTGACATTAATGGAAAGAAAGCCAAGAAAATTAATTATGGTTATTTTGCCAGATAACCATTTGGTTCATTTGAGCATGTGAATGTCTTCTGTTATCATAATGCTATTGAATTCTTTAAGACTTAAAACTATGTTTTCTTCGTCATGTTGCTTCCTGGATCTTATTTCCTGTATTGAGTATTTTCAAAGAGGCAAAGGAAACTACTGGTGGGTTTCCTAATAAACTTTATTTCCCTGGCCACATGTGTTCTTTATTTATGTTAGAGGCTTTGGTATATTTCTTTCACTAAAAAAAAAATAGTAAAAATAAAGATAAGATGGTTATTTTAATTTTTAAAAAGTTACAATTAAAGGAATGTTTGGAACTAGCTTGCTAATATGGCTTACTAACTTTTAATTGGCTGTCTTCTACGTTTGCCTTCTCTTACTCAGATAAAAATAATTTTGGGGTGAGCCAACATTTATTTACCTGATTTTTACTAGATGAATCACATGTATTAATTCATTGAATCTAAAAAAACTGCAATAATAGATGAGAAAAATGAAGCTTTAAGAGTTATTCACCCTTCTTATGAAGTTAGTTACTAAAAAAAAAAAAAATAGAATTTAACCCCTGGTTTATCTGACTCTAAAGCAGAATTCCTTCCACCACATACATCTTAAAGTCTCTAATACCAAAGAAAGTTATGACATCAATTTAAAATATGCAAGAGAAATAAAAAGTGTAAGATTCTTTAACAAAATCTCATCCAACTGTAATAGAAAAATCTATATTGGCTCATAGATTAAAATGGGCTGCTTGGAGGCTGAGGCAGGAGGATTGCAAGTTCAAAGCCAGCTTCAGCAACTTAGTGAGACCCTAAGCAACTTAGCAAGACCTTTTCTCAAAATAAAACACAAAAAAGGGGATAGGAATGTGGCTCAGTGCTTAAGCACTCCTGGGTTCAATCCTGGGTAACAAATGAATAAAAGGGCAGGCATTCTGGGTGATTTAGTGGGCATATCTATTTCAGTTTCATTCTCCATTAGAGAGAACTTAAAGGGATCAACTCTAGTAGCAGCGCACTAGAAGCACATCTCCATTTGCTACCATATAAGCACAGAAGTTCTGTCAAAGTTATCGCTAGAATGTCAATGCTTGTGAAATGGACACCTAGAGCTAAAACATTGGTGTAATGCCTTAACTGATTTCATCAGCCTACTTTAATTTTTTTTCTCATGCACATTATCTTTCTCTGAAACTAGAAAGTACACACACACACACACACACATATATATATGATGTATGTATGTACAGATATAAAATGTTTATATGCAATACATAAGTAACATATATGTAAAATAATAAATGTAGTGCATATATAATCCATGATACACACACACACACACACACACACACACACACACACCAAACATATAAAGACACAAGCCAAAATCTGAAAAAGCATTGAGGAAAAAAATCAAAAGAATGTTTGTGGGGAGAAACAAAGACAAGGCAAGGAAGAGGCAAAGCAAACACTTTTAAATAAACACATTTTTAAATGTCCTTGAAGTGACTGTCAATCTTTTCAGAGACGGATTACTCTGAGGATCTCATAGGTTCTTTGTAGCTCAACTTTGAATGAACGGAACTTAGAAGCCATGGGGTAGAAGAGACACAACCCAGGAAACTGCCCACAAAATGCTAAAAATCTAGGTTCAGTTCATTTGCTCAATCTTTTGGCCGATATTTCTTGAGTGCTTTCTCTATGCCAGTCCTGCATTCATGCTAGGAGTATAAACACAAAAGAAATGCTATCACCTAAAGTGCCTTCAACTTTCTCCCAAATCTGGTGCAGACTGATAAATTCCTATAAGCACAACACACGTGGACTATATAGGTCATATGAGTGCAGTTACCATGCTCTATGATTCCTGATGAGACAAGGACACAGTGGACCATAACAGCACACAGGAAGAGTAACCCAAACCCAGATTTGGTGATGCAGTGTCGGAGATGAGCAGTAGTAGGCAGGGAAATCCTCCAAGATGTCTCCAGTAAAAGCATGAAAAGGTGAATAAGCAGTGGGGGGCGGGGCGGGAGCCTCTGATCCGGAAAGAAGAGCCACTCAATGAATCACAGAGGCACTGAGAGCTTGGTCTTAAAGTACAGGAGCTGGGAATGGGGGGGGGGGGGTGAGGATGCATCCAAGGGGAGAAGACAGTGAGGCCCAAAAGAGAGACAAAGACCCCCAGAGCAAGAGGGGTTCAGCTGAAACCTCAAAACGATGAAAGATGTGAAAGCAAAAGATTACCAGTTATATTTTCGCTTCTGTTTCTTTTCAAAATCAATCTTTGATTTGTCCTCACTGTCACAGATACCACTACTGACTATAGGAAAGCATAATTGAAACTGCACAAGGTATTAGAGAAAGAGAGAGAGGGAGAGAGAGAGAGTATGGATTTTCAAAGTGCTAAAAATCTACCATTTACTCAAGTATCACTGTGTTTCTCTTATATTAGCTTAAAGAAAAATGAGAACTTTTGGTTTTAGAAATAAAATATGTTTTGTATCTCTGACACATCGTTCAAACTTCCACTGTTAACCACCTAAAAAGTATCTCAGTCCTGATAGATCCTATATTTAGCTTTTAACAAGTTAGTCAGAAAGCCATGTAAAGCCAATTTCCTTGCCTTTCTGAACTCCCTATCTTCATTTATAAACAAAGAAGAGTAATTCCCAGGTCTCTTAGACCACTGCAGAGAAAATGCATCTTTTTTTTTCTTAAGTTCCATGCATTTTTTATTTGACAAATGCATAATGTCATGTATCCACCATTCCAGTATCCTATAGAATAGTGTCACTGCCTTAAAACACCCCTGCACTTCATATCTTATTTATTTATTTATTTATTTATTTATTTATTTATTTATTTATTTATTTTCATATATGAGAAAACACATCTTAATAAACACTGAAAGTCTTTTCAATAAAAGAGATGAATTGATCAGCCTACACTTATTAGCTTTATAACTGTTTCTATCCTACAGTCTTCAGTCTTACTTATAATTAGAGAAGCTTGATGTTCTACATAAACAATCACAATGCTTTTAACCTTTTATGGTGAGCCTGAAGTCATGTTGCATTCTGAATAGGAGATTGATATCTTTATCCCATGAAATGCTAATTGTGTCTGCAGGTCACTTTTCCTTTGCAATGTTTCCTTAAAATATGAAAATTAATTCCTTTTTGTTGTTGTTGTTGTTTGCTCTTAGAGCCCAATATTTTTCATTTTATAATGTTTAATAGCAGCAATTTATAATAATACATTATATGTGGTAAACCTTTCCATCAGACTATAAATTCCATGGGGATAATGTTTATTTTGTTCATTCTTGAATTGCCAGCATTTATCACAGGACCTGGTACATGGTAATCACTCAATAAATGCTTATTGAATTAATTTTCAAATAGTGAATGAAATATTTATCTGTCCTGAGTAATAGGTTATGCAACTTGGCAGATATCCATGCAAAAATAAATTGGGGAAGTCTTGGGCCACCAGGAGAAGTCACGAATCTTCTCTTTCAAGTAAAGCCATAGGGAAGTTTTTCAAATTTTTTTCGATTCATTAATTTATATGCTAACCACTTTCTTTTCTTGTAGGCATGAATATTAATTGATTCATTTAGTTGATGTGCATTTTTTAGGTTAATGTTTCTTATTTCCTATAAGACTGTTCTCTTTGTTTTGGGGTTTCTGTTTGGTTAGTTTGGTTGTTTTGTTTTTGTAGTACTGGGGATTAAACCCAGGGCTGCTCTTTAGCTCTTTTTTTTTTTTCTCTTCTTCTTTCGACTGTTCCTTTCATCTTTACTTTGCCTTGAATTTGATCTGCAACTGACTTCATTAATGGTGATAATTTATTTTTTGCATTATGCTTTATGGTTATCCATGGACCTTAACCCTTTTTATCTCATGTGAACCTCACAATAATCTTCTAAGTGGAGGAATATAGCTATTATTGCCATTACTTTGCAGAGGGGGGTAAAAAGGAGATGAGCCTTTAAAAAGTGAAATACTTGCCATAACAAGATGCGGGGAGAGGACCAGTAGCACTAGGACCAGCGAAGAGGTCTTGTGGCTCCTAAAGCAGTCCTCTTGGGTCTATGGCTCCAATTGCAAAACATACAGACATGCTCACCTTCAGACCCTCACAGGTTGACCTAAAGGAGGAGACAGGAAGAATGGAGAAGAACCATGGCTGGGAGGGCAAGTGAGTCCAAGCTGAGTGGAAATGGTTTGCAATGTCAGGGTAATACTATCCAGGAGCTCATGCTCACTCTTAAACACTGAATTATGACTAAAGTCTAAATAATGCACTGGCGCTAAAATCCAGGTCTTTCTTCTATAGCTACCTGTGATCTGGGGAGAAAAATGCATTACATTGGAGAAAAAAAGAGAATGAAAATCAAATGTCAACCTATTAATCTAGCTCAGGCCCATAAGTTTGCTTTCCCTTCATCTCAATTTTACTTGAGTGTTAGCATTGTGGTCTTAAGTTATTCTTTCACTTAGTGTACATAGACATAAGCCAAAAATTCAATTTCCCCTCAAGGCAATTCAGTCCTCCATAGAAACTTAAATGACCTTATGAAGGGTGTTTGAACTTACCTAGGTATGAAAAAAAAAATACAAATACAATGATGGAATTTCATTTTTTACCCATACATTGACAAATACTTTAAAAATATTAAAGATATAGGGAAACAATATTCTCAAACACAGGTGATGGGAAAAGATAAATAGGAAAGAACAGATTTTCAGAGCCGTGGTGGAGAGTAGAATGGCAATGACTATCAGGAGTTGGTCTTTAAAATAGTGTGAATTAACATTTGCCCCTAGAGTTCTGCCTAGTAATTGTATCTGTTTCTGAAATAATCAGAAATGTACACAAAGATTTATATACCTGGTCATTCTCTATTGCCACAATTATCAGAGAGAAGACTTGAAAATAACCTAAGGGTTTAATAAAATGAAATTCTTAAGAAATTTACAATGATATGATGAATATCAGGAAGTATTAAAAGTAACATCAAATATACATGTAAATAGAAAATATTAAAAATATACATGTTTACATGTATATTTTCCATACAATATGCTTCCAGTAATGTAATAAAAGGATAAATACACATAAACAAAAATGATCTGCTTCATATATGTGTATGAAACATTAACAGGTAATTTCTCCTGATGATAAGATTGTGGATGAGCTGTTATCTTTATTGTTTATTTATGTTTTCCAAATTTTGATATGATATAATATTTTATGGTTAAAAAAACTAAAATGATGAGTATTTTTTTTAAGTTTTCTCATATTTCTCAGTAACCTATCTCTCCATGTTAAGACAATTTTGATCTCCAAAGCCTCAAAGGTAAAAGAAGGTGACTAAAATTAAGTTTATCTCTTTAAAACAATAATTCTTCATTAAATCAGTTGATACTGATAAAGGTACAGAAAATAAAAACTTAATAGCAGCACAGAAAAAAACACACATGCTGCAGATTACGATCATGCCATGTCCCCAGCAGGCAGGTGTTGGAATTATAGTACTGAAGCATCTGGTGAGACCTCATAAAGCTGTGTTCGAGTGACAAATAGCAAGAATAATCAGTTCATATTTAGCAATGAACTCAAATAAAAGTTAATTAAGACAATAGGGACTCTTTACAGGCATTTAAATGTCAAACCAATTACTAGATAATGGGAACACTAACATAAGCAAGAATCAGGAAAGAAGCCTTCCTATTGGACCCACACCCTCTGGGAAGGGTATATAAGAGCCTCAAAGTGAGAGGAGACATTTGAACCTCAGAAACCTCACCTTCCCAAGAGACCCAAGGCACACCTGACCCCCAACGCCATGTCCTGCTGTATTGCCCGCTGCTGCAGCGTCCCCACCGGCCCTGCCACCACCATCTGCTCCTCAGACAAGTCCTGCCGCTGTGGAGTCTGCCTGCCCAGCACCTGCCCCCACACCATCTGGCAACTGGAGCCAACCTGCTGTGACAACTGCCCCCCACCCTGCCACATCCCTCAGCCCTGTGTGCCCACCTGCTTCCTTCTCAACTCCTCCTATCCCACCCCAGACCTGGAGACCATCAACCTCACCACCTACACTCAGCCCAGCTGTGACCCCTGCGTCCCAAGATGCTGCTGACCCGTGTCTGCTTTACTCAGTGCCTGTCATTCAGAGAGTCAACCTAGAAGCTCTAGCATTCACCTGTCTCAGCACCTGCAACTAGCTCACTCTGCTTTAAAAACTGGAACGGGGCTGGCACGATCACTGATGACACTGCCACCCCATCACCACCACCAAAAAAAAAAAGTCAAGGGACTTTCAATAAACATGTAGCTACGATCCGGAGCCAAGGGCAGTGTGAATAGGTGGAAGCCTATAGCTTCCCAAAGTTGTGTGATTCCTCCATATTGAAGTGTACCTTTCTTTGGGTGTTTGGGAATTCTGTTTCCAGTCTTGGGTGGTGTCTTTCTGTAAATTGAAGGACTCCCTCATGATCATGCTAATAAATTTTTTGTCTCTCGCATAGCACAAATGTCTACAGTTAATTTTGTTTGTTTCTGTGAACTTATTAAGTGTGTTCCCCAACTCCCAGTGTTGGCATTTGAAGAAAAACTGGGAACATCAGTAAAACTCAAAATGGTGGTAGTACGGACATACTTCATGCTTTTGTTGTCCTTTCTATTTTAAGAAAACTAAAGATGCATCTAAGATGGTCTGCTTGATGAGCATACTTTAGAGTATACTTTTCTTGACTTGTCCTCTCTCCCCCCAAAAAATGTTTTACGATAGGTTGGGAAAGACTAAACATGACCTGGTGACCAATTATGACAAACCAAATCAACTAATCCAGGTGACTTGATGTAATTATGAGAAAATATTCACAATATGGCCACGTTATTCATTCAACTCACATTTATCAAATATCTCTCATGTATCCTGTGCTTAATTGTCCCTGCCAAAATTGAGCTCACTATCGAGCAGGTTTGCAGGATACACCATGATCATTTATTCCTTCACACAGTTTACAATTATTTATTAACTGTCTGTTGCTGTATTATAATGAAAAGTTTGGTGTTCTGTCTAGCAGTTGCATTAGTAAAGTGCTGTGGGACCACATAGTTGAGAACAATCAAGACTGCTGCCATGGAGAGAAAGGGGAAGGACACAGTCAAGGGCAAATTGATGTGAAGCTGTGTTCAAAAAATTTTGGAGAAGAGGGTATCAAAGAGAGACTAGACAATGGGGTTATGTCACCACCTAAGCCTGGAGCAGAGAAAGAAGAAAGAATTCAAAAGGGAACGCTGAGCTCTCTGGTCCAGATAAGTCAAGTTTGATAAGTACATCTAATCTAGATGGAGTTTGGACAGCTGTTGTGAGGAGGAAGATGTCTGTTGGTAGGTGCAGAAGTCTGTGTAAAAGGTCTTGTGCAGAGGACTGAGTTGCATGTGTGCAGGATGAAATTCCATGTGCATAGCAGAGAGCTGCTGCTATGGATTAGAAACTGAATGGAGATACCAGAGGTCATTTTCTATTAATAAACATTGAATTTCCAGCCTAACTAGAATGGGAAAAGCTCTCCAAGTACCTCAAGCATCAACTGATGTTCCAGAAGGAACACACCAAAAGAATAGGATGACTATCTTGAATAAGGAACACACCAAATCACACCCACCTAAGTCTAATTAACACCAAGCCTGAGAGGATCTCGGTGTCTGTTTGTTTGTTGTGTACCAGAGATTGAACCCAGGGACACTTAATCATGAGCCATATCCCCAGCCCTATTTATATTTTATTTTGAGACAGGGTCTTGCTAAGCTGCTAAGGCTGGCCTCCAACTTGGGATCCCCCTGCCTTAGCATCCAGAGCCACTGGGATTAGAGATGTAGCTCTTGTGCTTGGTCTCAGTGTAGTTTTGATTTGCATTTCCCTGATTGCTAGAGATATTGAACTTTCTTTTCCATATAATTGTTGGCCATTGTACTTCTCCTTTTGAGAAGTGTCTGTAGAGGTCATTTGCCCATTAATTGGTTGGGTTATTTTTGTTGTTGTTGTTGTTTGTTTTTGTTTTTGGTGTTGTGATTTTAGAATTCTTTATGTATTCTGGAGATTAATTCTTTCTTGGAAAAGTCACTGGCTAACATTTTCTCCCATTCTGTAGGTTTTCTCTTCATCCTAACGTTTCCTTTGTTGTGCAGAAGCTTTTTAATTTGATCCTGTCCCATTGATTCTGTCCTGAGCTATAGGAGCGTAATGCCAGATTTGAGGGACCCCAATAGACCTCCAGGAGCCGAATCGATGCAATCACACAAGAGTCTTTATTGCAAGCTCGAGCCTGGACTCACAACCGTTTCCGACACAGCAGTCCCAGGGAATGAGTCCTGGTCCTTTGTTCAGTGAGATTTTATAGGTTTTGGGGGGATACTCTATGCGTCACAACATCACACAGCAAATCATTCCATACCGTGGGAAAATCAAACAACAACTCTTAACATTGATTAGCACATTCACTGGCGGGAACAAGTTGGGTAGGGATGATTGATTAGTACAAGAGGGGGGATTCCTTTGAACTGATTGGTTTAGGCCACGAGGGGTGTTGGTGCTAAACTACATGGTTTCCCAACATCTTATCAACCACCATAAACTACTGTGGGGGTCATCTGGCATCCCAGGTATTTTCCCTGTCTCATGCTGATTGGTGGTTGCTAGGGGGTTGCTATGGGTCCTCACCTAGCCTGACTGAGTCAGGGACACCTGGCCCCACAGATCTCTCCTGTTATTTGTAGATAAACAACTCAGCAGGGTGGGTATGTACCTAGGAGTGCTCTGTGGGTTTTTCCAAGGACAAGGGTCACACCCCCTTCCTTAGGACAGGCTTTGCTCTGAGGTAGAAGCTGGTTTCTCAAAAATGGAGTCAAATCAGTTTCTCAGGAGTCCTGTTGAGGAAGCCCTGGCCTGCCCCCACCCGTTGGAATGTTTTCCTCTGTTTCATTCTAGCAGTTGCAAAGTTCTTGATCTTATTCTTAGGTCTTTGATCCATTTTGAGTTGACTTTTTTTTTGTTTTCAGGGTAAAAGATGAGGACCTAGTTTTATTCTTCTCTCTATGGCTATCAGTCTACCCTGCACCATTTGTTAAAAAGACTGACCAAAGGACATTTTTGGTACCTTTTGTGGACAGTGTTTTTTTGTCCTACACCAATTTTCCTTGTCCTCTACTGTCGTTTTCTGTGGCAAAAAAAAAAAAAAAAAATATATATATATATATAGATAGATAGATAGATAGATATAGATATAGATATAGATATAGATATAGATAGATATATAGATATATATATCTCAAAACAGAAGCCTCCATTAAGCTAAGTGGATATATTTTTAGCCAACATTTATTAATCTATTATATCCCACATATATTATGTCCCAGGCTTAGGACAAAAAGGCAAATAAGATACACCTGTCTTAAAAGAAAACTTGTTTAAAAAAAAATGCATCAGGATTTTAAAAGTAACATGACTACTGCTATAGTAGAGGCCTGTGCAGAGTGATCTGGGGACAGCCCCCGGCTCACCAGGCAGCACCTCAGCTGAGCCTTGACATGCATGTTCATCCAGGAAACTGACAGCAGGAGAAAAGTGCCTACAAGCCTGAAGAGTGGCTGGAGCTTAGGTTCGTGAGATGGTCAGGAAATGAGCCTGGAGAGGTCAATTGGCCCCACGTTAAGGAAAGTCCTATTTGCTGAGATAGAAAGTTTTGACCTCCTAGGCCGAGAGTAACCAAAACTAGATTTGTATTTTAGAATAACGATTCTGGTAGTTGGTTGTGTTCTGAGATGAGAGCCTATTACAAAATGAAACAACCATTTCTTTTTATCATGACCTTTCATGGCTTCTACTTATCTTCCTCTATTCCCAGTGTTCTCCTCCTCCAAGGGAGTTACACTCTAGAAACGAATCCTGGCCAATTTCCACTTTGCAAGATGAGCCTGCCACTATTGATCATTACCGCAACACGACCAAATTAATCAAGACCAAAATAAATAGTCCTACTCTGTTTTTATACACATACAACAACCAGTAACCACATTTTCTAATTAGAAGTTAGCTCGACAAAGGGAAATATTTCTTATTTTTGCCTGAAGTTATTTTAAAATAATACTTCACATATGATGGACAGCCAATACATGGGCTCTCTTCAAAGGTATTTTTCTTTTGACTCATTAGGTTACTATACAATTATTATTTTCTTTCAGAGATTTGTGATTTTCAAATGTTTTTGAATCCTCAAACTCACATCCTTTACAGAACAACATGAATATACCATGAGGCCCTGTAAAAACTTTAGCATGTGTTGAAATGTAAAGAAAGTCACTACATTCAAACCCATCTCTGTTCAATTCTAAGAGACTAGTTTAAGCTACCTATGTATGTTCATTTGCTTTCATTGCTTCATTTCCAGTAGTGGCTACAGAGAAATAGTGCTCAGAGTTAGGGTGAAAATTAAATTTATTTTGGCTCATAAATAAATTAACTTAACTTTAATAAATAATTTAACTTTGTCAGATTAATGGGGTTTTTCTTATCCCTTGTATAAAAGTCTTAGAGCCAAGTGTGATGGTGCATTCTTGTAATCCCAGTGGCTCAGGAAGCTGAGGCAGGAAGATTACAAGTTTGACAGCCTCAGCAATTTAAGAAAGGCCTTAAGCAACTTAGTGAGACCATGTCTCAAAATAAAAATTGTTAAAAAGGGCTAGGGATATGGCTCAATGGTAGTTAAATGCCCCTGGGTTCACTCCCCAATACCACATACAAAAAAAAAAAGTCTTAGAGATTCCAGAGGCAATTTTCCCTGTGGACTTTTGAAAATGAAATAAATCCACAACTGAAGCCAAGCAAAGTGAAATCAATTATGCTTTACGAAGATGAAATTCAAGAAAGAATGCAAAAAAATTGACATCTCAAGTCTCCCTACTGCCTAATCCTTCTGGATCAGAGATTTTATCCAATAGAATTGCTAGTTTGAGGAATTTTATCTAATTTACAGATTTCATTCCTAAGTTCCAGTATTTTTAATTTTCATAAAATTGAGGCCTTCATGTGTAAAGAAAACAGACTCCACATCTCAGCACATAAGACTTCTGTGATTTCCTTATCTCTGCTTGGAAGTATAAGCAGTGAGGTTTTCCCAGGGCACCAAAAGATGGTAACTTAGAATTTATGTTTCACTCTTGATAGAAACGCAGGTAAGGGCTGGGGTAATGGCTCAGTGATAGAGCACGTGCTTAGCACAAGCGAGTCCCTGGGTTTGATCCTCAGCCCCAAAGAAAGAAAGAAACACAGTAAAAATTAGTATAACCCATCTAAAAATGAGATGTAGGATATCGGGAGAAGGCAAGTTTCGGGAAATCAAAGATTTATCAAGACTACATGTCTTGATAACAATTTGTTCCCCTTAGTTATATAAAGTGACATTTCAATTTTCATACACAGAGTTGTGGTTCACACACACACACACACACGAAATCAAGTACATACCTTGCTCTTCTACCATGTAAAGGACACACTTTATGATCACAAAAAGCATTTCAAGGTAACTGGTAAGAGTGATCATCTTCATGGTGGTAGCACAAATAAATGTCATTTGGTGAGTTATAATATAGATTTTAAAAGTAAACACCAGCAATCAATGCACAGATCAAAATCTGTGGGAATATTATTTTCCTTATTGGAAACAAGTTGTATCTCTAATTACTGATTGGCCAAATTTTCTTTCTTTTTTGTTCCTTATTCTGTCAAAAGAACAATGCCTCCTATATCCATTTACTGAAATAAGTATTTTATCCTAGCAGCACGTGGGGTAAGTCCTGATTTAGTAACCTAAGCTTATCCCTCTTTTATGAGGCATAAAACTCTTCCTCAGTAAATAAACAGCATAATGAAATGTTAGTATGAAAACTGACACCAACAGTGATAAAGAAAACATCCTGTGCGGTCAGTAAATACCCATTTGGGGGGGACTCTATAAAGGCCTCGGGAGGGAAGGAGATGTTTGGAGTCAAGGACACCAGAGTATTGCAACCCATCTTTGTTCTTCACTTCTGAAAGGATGACCTCCGATGGATCTGAAGGTTCCCCCAAGTGCTGCTCTTCTGAGTCCTGTGGCCGGGCTTCCAGCTGTGCATCTGCTTCCCCCTGTGTCCCCACTGCCACTGCTGGGGCTACATCCAGATGTCAGACGCCAGGCTTCCTGTCCAGGTCTCACCTGCCCATCGGTTGCTATTTGGCTGGGAGTTGTAGCAGCCCGTGCCTGGTGGGGAACTGTGCTTGGTGTGAGGACGGAGTGTTCAACAGCAATGAGAAGGAGACGATGCAGTTCCTGAACGACAGACTTGCCAACTACCTGGAGAAGGTTCGCAGCCTGGAGGAGACCAACGCCGAGCTGGAATGCAGGATCCGAGAACAGTGTGAGCCAGATACGCCCCTGGTGTGCCCGGACTATCAGTTTTACTTCAACACCATTGAAGACCTCCAACAGAAGGTTTGGTGTCGCAAATCTCTCATGCTCCATCTTTCCAGACTCTTCTTTGCTGTATCCCTGCACTAGAAGAGGCTGTTTTATGGAAGTCAACCAAGGGAAGGCAGAATTCCAAGAGCTAATGGAGTACAGAGACCAGGGCACTGGACTAAGTCAGTACACCTAGGTTTCAGCCCCGGTGGGGTCACCAAAATTGAGTGACTATTTAAAAAAAAAAAAGTCACATCTGTAGACTTGACCTTTATCATCTATAGGATGGGGGGAGAATGCAGTATATCTAAAATCACTTCTGTCTGTAACACGGTACAAAGGACACTGTGTATGTATATTCTTTTTCACACAGATGTCGAATGATGTCACCTAGTTGAATTTCATCTAGCAATCATTTTCTTCTTTTACAGATGAATTTCTACCATTAAGGATGGGGATAGAGTCATGATACAAACTACTAATAAAAAAAAACCTAAGTTTTCAACTAGCAAGGAATATTGCAGAAAGTCTTAGATCATTTAAAAAATAAAACTTTGTATTTCTATATTTTGTTGCTAAATTGGCACTGAGGTTTTTTTTTTTCTCCACAAAGTCACATGGCTAATAAGAAAAGCAGGCCAATCAATCGGATACCTTCTTACAAAGACTTTTATAAGATAATGAAAGGCATGATTGTTAAAGGAGGAGATACGCAGGTTTCAAAGAAGCATTTACTTACATAACAACTTACTTCTCAGATCTTATGCACAAAGGCGGAGAATTCTCGACTTGCCGTACAGCTTGACAACTGCAAACTGGCCACTGATGATTTTAGGTCAAAGTAAGTGGAATTTTAATTTGATAATAATAGAAAGATCTCCCTCCCCACCTGCCTTCTACCTCTATCTAGCTCTCCCCCAAAATGTTTTCTGCATAATATTTTTAAGCTGAGAATGCTTTAAAATCTTGAACGTACCATTATTTGGGATGTGAAGGATGTAATGGCGTGTGACTCCCGGGTCCCCTGCCTCACTCACTGGTGTACCCAACACTGTTCAGTGCATAGCAAGGTAAGTGCTCATGTTTTTCTCTTGCTATAACAGGTATGAGAGTGAGCTGTCTCTTCGCCAGCTGGTAGAGACGGACATCAGTGGCCTGCGTGGAATCCTGAATGAGCTGAACCTGTGCAAATCTGATCTGGAGGCCCATGTGGAGTCTTTGAAGGAAGACCTCCTTTGCCTTAAGAAAAGTCACGAAGAGGTGAGAAAATGGTTTAACTTTGTTACTCTGAGTCCTTCAGTGATATGGCTGAAGGACTCAGAGTAACAAAGTTAAACTGATAAGTTTTGTGTATCTGAATTATTTTAGTTTATTATTTATTTATTTATTTTTGGTACGAGGGGCACTGAACCACGGAACCACATCCCTAGCCCTTTTTTAATATTTTACTTAGAGACAGGGTCTCCCTCGATAAGTTGCTGAGGCTGACTTTGAACTTGTGATCCACCTGCCTCAGCCTCTCGAGCCACTGGGATTACAGGCATGCACTAACACACCCAGCTTTATGTATCTAAGTTGAATTTGGGCAGATGTTGCTTAAACTGGACTAAAGCTCCTTGAGGCTCTCTCATATGCATCTGATCATTCCAGGTCTGAATGTAGATGTGCATCACTACATGCAGCATGACCCCTGGCCAGTTCCAGAGATAAAGACCAACTCCTCCTCTCCATTGCTTTTCTGGAGAGAGTGAATAACCCCAACCCCACAAGTGGCTCTCCTTAGCAGCTAGATGCCACCCCTAACTCCAATCCACTTGGTATGAAAATTGGGCTGATAATAGACTGTGAAGTCCCATTCTGAAAAGGGGATCAAGAGACATGCAATATTTGGACCCGTGTTTTTCAATATTCTGTGTTTTAAAACTTTTTTAAATTATAAAATAAATTATAAAAGAGTATGTTACCTCATATTGATGAAGTTTAAAAATGAAAAACTGATGTAACAAAATATATTTTCTCTTTGAACACTGCTTAGTGATTAAGAACTAACCCTTATTGAGGGGCTGGGGTTGTGGCTTAGGATAGAGTGCTCGCCTGGCACTGAGAGACCCTGGGTTCGATCCTCAGCACCACATACAAAAATAAACAAGTGAAATAAAGGTGTTGTATCCAACTACAACTAAAAAATAAATATTAAGAAAATTTTACAAAAAGAAGAACTAACCCTTATTGAGACCTTTCTATGTGCCAGGATTTTTAGAAGTTATTTATATGTACTTTAACTCTTCCATATCTCACAATAACCCTCTGGAAAGGAGATAATTGTTACAGCTATTTTATAGATGAAGAAACAGAGGTACTTATAAGCAAAAAGAGAGTCAGCCCAGGCAACCCGATTCAAAAGCCCACACCTTCATCCACAAAAGCAAAAACCGAAATGGGATGGCATTAGTTGTCCAATTAGCTTTTTCCTCCCCCACCACTCCGTGACATCCTTTATTCCACCTCTGCTTTCAGGAGGTCAACCTGCTTCGAGGACAGCTCGGAGACCGACTCAGTGTGGAGCTGGACACTGCCCCCAACGTCGACCTCAACAGGGTCCTGGATGAGATGCGAAGTCAGTATGAAACGGTGCTGGCCAACAACCGCAGAGACGCGGAAGAATGGTTCTCCGTTCAGGTCAGCACCCACAGCAGTACAGGGTCAGCTTCCAGAGCTGTGCCTTGCTGGAGTTCTCTAACCCGCCCTGTGTTTCAGACAGAAGAGCTGAATCAGCAGCAGCAGTCCAGCGTGGAGCAGCTGCAGGGCTGCCAGACAGAGATACTGGAGCTGAAACGCACGGCCAACACCCTGGAAATTGAGCTGCAAGCCCAGCAAAACCTGGTGCGTAAGGCAAACACAGGGTCAGTTTTGCCCTAAGAAATTATGTCCTCTACCCAACCCCAGGGAGAGACAAACAGTGTGTGGGGCAGTCTGGATCTCCAATTTACAAGGATAGCATTTCCTCGCCTTTCCTAAGTACCACTGTCAACCCAGTTGGAGGCAAAGGTGACATGTCATCAGCTTGTATTGCCCCACTAATGTACCTGCCCTTCCCTTCTGCGCCTGTGCACAATCCTACAGCACCTCGAGAGACAGGAAGAGAAGGGAGTCAGGGCAGAGTGAGCAATTAACCAATTAAGCCTGAAAATGGACAATGGATTTTTACTCTTTTAATCAAGGACAATTCTTCAGGCTCTCCACCACATCTAAAACAAAGAATAGTTTTCTAACTTTTCATCCTACAACTATGGCAAAGTTTCCTGGGATCCACACCTCAACTTGACCCTTTGCTGCACCCCGCCCCACCTCACCCAAGCCACAAGAATACCACGCAGTCAAGGTCACATGCACCAGTTCCAGTCAAGTACCAACCACAGTGTGTGCTACATTAAGCCCCAAGAGAATGCCTACGTGGATAATAGCAGGCATTCATTTGATGACAGACACAGTGCGGCTTACACCTCACCATAATGTTATAGGACCATAATGTTAGATTTCACTAACCCAATCTCAGATGAGGAAAACTGAGGCTCAAATTAAAAAATTTGCAGAAGTTTCTGCAATTCTTCTTTTTTTTTTTAAACCAGCAATTGAACCCAGGGGTCCTTAATCATTGACCCACATCCCCAGTCATTGTTTATATTTTATTTAGAGACAGGGTCTTGCTAAGTTGCTTAGGGCCTTGGCTACATTTCTGAGGCTGATCTCAATTTGCAATCCTCCTGCCTCAGCCTCACAAGCCACTGGGATTACAGGCATGTGTGAGTTCCTGCACTTCCACTTCTAAGAGGAAGCTAAATCCAAGGGTTTCAAACCCAGAGCCTCTTCTCTTGTAACCACATTATACCATCCCTCCCTGCCAGGAGTCCAAACTCAAGGTTTTCCTCCCAAATCCTGGCAATCTTCCTTAAGCTACACAAGGAAGTCCAAGGTGGCAGTAGTCATAGAGGTAGAATTCATAGCTGATGATTCTACAGGCCCTAGGTACTTCTACAGGTTCCAGGTACTGTTCTAAGTGCTCTCCACATATTATCTCATGTAATCCTCACAACCTTCCCATGAGGTAGGAACTTCACATTCCCCATTTTAGACAGAATGAAACTTAGGCTCCACGAAGCTGACGAATTTTCCTAAAGTCATAAAACTAGAAGAGGGCATAGCAAGGACTTGAAAACAGTGCCCCTGGCCCCAGAGACTGTAGACAGGATCCTCTTGACAATATTTTCCTTCTGCAGACAGAATCTCTGGAATGCACTGTGGCAGAAACCGAGGCCCAGTACAGCAGCCAGCTGGCCCAGATGCAAGGCCTGATTGATACCGTGGAGAACCAGCTGGCAGAGATTCGCTGCGACCTCGAGCGGCAGAACCAGGAGTACGAGGTGCTGCTGGACACGAAGGCCAGGCTGGAGTGCGAGATCAACACGTACCGGGGCCTGCTGGACAGCGAGGACAGCAGGCAAGTTCCACAGTCACTCATGAAATCGCCCTGAGTCACAAAGAGGCCAAAATAGACAATCCTGTTTCCCCCAAGGTCAGGCCAAGGTCAAACCTCCTTAATCTATTAAGGGTTCTTTTTTTGAGGGGGGGCAGGGATAACGAGGGATTGAACTCAGGGGCACTCAACCACTGAGCCACATCCCCATCCCTATTTGTATTTTATTTAGAGACAGGGTCTCACTGAGTTGCTTAGCACCTCGCTTTTGCTAAAGCTGGCTTTGAACTCACAATCCTTCTGCATCAGCCTCAAGAGTCCAGAGCCACTGGGATTACAGGCATGCACCACGGGGCCAGCCAAGGGTTCTTTAAAGAGTGAGGAAAAGTGCCTGAAGCTAAGCACATGACAGTGGATATGTCCTAAAACATTTTGATGTTCTAAAGCAGGATAAATTTTATATATGACATTTCATGCTGGGGGTATTACTTTGCCCGTTTTCCACTAAAGGGAAATCTGGAACATGCATTCGAAGACATTTGCAAAATAAAGAAAATATATTAAATACTATTCAACAGCCACTGCTGTGGTGAAGGTGAAGTACCATTCTGGGTCTTGCCATGAAACAGGTTTAAGCCGTAAGGAATTTTCTACAGAATGTAATTCATGGGGCAAAATGTAACATGTCTAAGTTACATTGTACCAAGATTTCCTTGTTAAGCCCAGTTTAAAATTGATTTTCCCCAGGCTGGCCTGTAACCCCTGTTCTACAATATCCACTGCAAACAACACTTGTGAGCCGTGCTCAGCATATCTCATTTGTACAGTTGAAAACTGTTGTGTTTGAACGTTAAACACCCAACATGGTAGATGGAAGAATGGAAGCCAGCAGTGTCTGAGGAAGGAGATGGGCTATCCAGACCAGAAACACAAGGTCAGAAGGCTCCCAAATCCTCTGAGCAGCGTTGGTGTAAATTTTATCATTTCCTCTCCTTTAAGCGATTTGTGGTATTCTTAGAGCTCATAAAGCTTTCTTGCTAATCTCCAAATAAAATGTGTCTCATTCCTTTAACATGTAAGTACTTGAAAACAGCCCCCTGGCCTGAGAGACTGCTGACAGAAGTTTCTGCAATTCTTTTCTTCTTCTTCTTTTTTTTTTTTAAACCAGCAATTGAACCCAGGGGTCCTTAAGTACAGTTGGGTGGCTTGTTGCCATGGATATAATAGCCACTAGATGGCAAGAGAATTGTCTAAACCCAGTACTGTGGTTTGAATTTGCATAAAACCAGGCTGAAAATATGTTTAACTCTGTCAAATACAAATAGATTAATCAATGTGAAGTATTGCATGTCCTCAAAGACAGTTGTATGTCTCTGTCTCAGAGGGAATTTAGAAATAAAATATAATAAATTACATTTATTTTATTTTTAGTTGTAAAAGTACTAGGTTCTCCTTTTTTTAATTTGGCATATTAAGCTGGATGCAGTGGTGCACACCTGTAATCCCAGGGGCCCTGGAGGCTGAGGCAGGAGAATCTCAAGTTCAAAACCCAGCCTCAGAAACTTAGTGAGGCCCTAAGTAACTCAGCAAGACCCCTTCTCTAAATAAAAAATGTAAAAGAGGGTTGGGGATGTGGCTCAGTAATTAAGCACCCCTGGGTTCAATCCCCAGTATCAAAAAAAAAATTTTTTTGGCAGGGCATATTAATGGGTAAAACATTCACAATTCCATTCCCTAAACATCCATTGTCAATATTTTGGGGAACTTCAAGTCCATCCTTATAATTGGTTTTTCCACTTAGTTGTAATCTTATTTACATATGCATACATTTTTTTTCACTTATGTTATCTAAGTATTTTTCAATCCTAATAAAAAAATAAAATTGTCTTGAGGCCATCATTTTGGTAGGCATATAACATACCATACAGTACACTGCTGTGTTATTGGACATTTAGGTTTTAAGAATAATTATTCTCATACATTTAAAAAGCAAAGACGAGAATTTTCACTTCCAGAAAGATGAAGTAGATACACATACATTTCTTTAGTCCTCTTCCTGAATACAATAAAAAAAACCCTCAACAATACATATAAAACAATTATAAGAAGAACTCTGGAAAGTGGATAATATTGAGGTTCAAGGAACCACACTTATGATGTGATCCCTGGATTTCCTTCCTCTTCTATCCCAAAGTGGGAGCTACAGAGACCAACCACCCAGAACCACCAAAAGGTACAGATGAAGAGAAAAAAAAAATGCCCAAGAAGAGCTTTCTCTCACTAGCTAAAGAACCAGAAAAGAGGTCACCTAGCAAGGCAGAAAAACTTTAGATAATTGCCACTCTACCCAACCAAATACCACACACTGCCCCCACCAAAAAAAAAAAATCATTTTGCAACCCCCACCAGGAAAGGCCAAGGAAGAAGTGTAGGTTTCCATCCTTACCAGGCTGTAGCAGGGCACCCAAACTCCTCCACTAGAGTGGAGACAGAGAAGGCTGAGTGGAGAGATTCAGGACTTTCACTCCCACTACAAGATTCTGAGACCCACTGCCACCAAGGTATAGTGGAGACTCTCTGGGGACCTTGGACTTAATACCACCTTGAAGCAGTGAGGCACTTCTCCCCACTGAGTGATGTCAAAGGAGGCCTATCGGAAAGTCACAGTAACAAGGCCACACCATGCAGTATCAGCGGAAGCCACATCTAAAGCAGTAATGACACACCCTGTCCAGCCCATCCAGGAATATTATCCAGGGAGACCAGGTGAGGAGCCTGAAGTCTATACCTCCCAGCAATAGTGCAGAGCACTCCCCTTGGATGTCAAAGGAGGTGAAGTGGAGGACCTGGACTTCTACTCCCATCTGCCAGTGTGAAGCAGCATCCACCTTCCCTTACCAAAGCAATGTCAGCGAGACCTGCTGCAACAGAAGACCGAAAGCAACAGCCAGAGTCTCAAAACCTGACACCGCAATGTGCAGGTTTCTATCAAAAATCACTCTTCATACTAGGAATCAGGAAACTTAGCTTAAAAAGGAAAAATAAAAATGATCAATAGAGTCCAACACCAGGATGACAAGATGTTAGAATTATCTGGCAAGAATGTTTAAATAGCCATCATAAAAATACTTCAATAAGTAATACTTCAATGAACTTTTGTAGCAAATGAAAAAGTAGAAAATTCTCAGCAAAGAGGTAGAAGATATAAAGAGCCAAATGGAAGTTTCTTAACTGAAAAATATCATAAAACCCAGTCAATGGACTCAAGAGCAGAATGAAAATATCAGTGGGGTAAAAATATCAGTGAACTTTATAATAGAATAATAGATATCATCCAATCTGAAAAACAGTCTGAAAAAAAAAAAACCTGAAGCATCTCAGGCAACTCCGGCTATATCTTAAGATCTTACATTCATGTCATCAGAAACTTTAAGAGGAGGAAAAAGAGAGTAAAGCACAAAATGGATTAGAAGAAATAAAGCCTAAAATTTTTCCAAATTTGACAAAAGGCAAAAACCTACAGATGCAAGAAACTAAGCCAACCTCCAAAAGGAGAAATCCAAAGAAATCCACACCAAGATATACCAGGACAATTTTCTGAAAACTAAAGCTAATTAGAAAAAAAAATCCTGAAAGGAGTAAGAGAGAAATGACAACTTACCATAGAAGGTAACAAGTTAAATGATGGCAGATTTGTCACCATAATCCTAGAAGCCAATAGGATGGGCCACAACATTATTCAAGTGCTGAAAGAAAAGCCCTCTGAAAACATCCTTCAGAAAAGAATGATAAAAAAGATATTCTCAGGTGAAGAAAAGTCACAGGGAGCTGCCACCAGCAGACCCACCCTGAAAGAATAAATAAAAAGAGTCCTCTGGACACAAATGCAATGATGAAATAAAGAATATTAGAATATTAGGAGAAAAAATAACAATTAAAATATGAATAATATAAATACATCTTCTTCTCTTCTGAGGTTTATAAATTGTGTTTCATAGTTGAGGCAAAAGTATAGCACCTGAAATGGTTCTCAATATATGTATAGAAAAATGTTAAGATGTTTGTATTAAAATGGGGTACAGTAAAAGGGATAAGGTTTCTGCATTTAAACTGATAAAAATACCAACAATAGTGCACTGTGATAAGTTATTCGTATATCTTATATTATCTAGAGCAACTACTTAAAAACTCTATTCAAAGAGATATGCTCAAAAATACTGTAGATAAATCAAACTGGAATCCTAAAACATTCAACCCCAAGGGTAGGCAGAAAAAAGAAAACAGAGAAACAGAAACAAAAATGTAAGCATAAGCCCTAAATAACAGAGATTACAATAAATAGAAATGGCCTAAATACATCAATTAGAAGGCAGAGATTGGCAGAATAGATGAAAAAGCATGACCAAACTGCATGAAACTTTGCACAAGAAACCCATTTCCAATGTAAAGATGCAGGTTAGAGGGAAAGCAAAGAGTTTCAAAAGCTACATAGTTGTTCACAATTAGCTTTATTCATAATAGAAGAGCCCCAAACTGGAAACAACTGAAATGTCCATTAGGCTGAGTGAAAAGGGGAAATCTTAAAGAGTTAATACAGTATGGTGCTATTTCTATAACATTCTCAAATGGCAAAATCATGGGGATGGAAATGAACTGGGTGTAGAATGAGAGAGGTCTTTGTACAACTGACTAGTTCCATATCTTGATTGCTGTGAAACCACATGAATCTACAAATATGAACACAATTATATAGAACTCAGCACACAGTGTTTCAATGTCAATCTTCTGATTTTACAATTGTGCTATAATTGAATAAGATTTAACTATTGGGAGAAACCAGGTACATGTGACATTTTGCTGTACCTTCTTTGCAACTTCTTATGAATCTTTATTTCAAAATTTAAAAGTTTTTTTTAAAAAATCAGTAGCAAACTAAAGAAAAATTCTCTTCATTTTTCTATTTCTATCTCCTGAGTACTCAGAAATAAAGCATCTAATAATAAGTTAATACAGTTTTAAAGCAAAGTTAAGCTTCAGACCTAAAATTGTATGTTAGATATTTTTACATATCATTCCGTTGCTCTAAAAAGTTGTGAAAATACTCAAAATAAATTTTTTCCAGATAAATAAACCCATGAAATACTGTTCAAACACTATTATTCCACTAATAATTAAATTGGGAAAAAATATGATAGTACAGTGCTACCAAAATCATAAAACCCAGTCACTTGAAAGGTTCCACCACATAAATCTCGCAGGCATCTCTGCCACCTGTTCTCTTTTTTAAAATTTTTTTATTTGTTCTTTTCAGATGTACATGATAGTAGAATGTATTTTGACATATCATACATATATGGACTTCCCATTTTTGTAGTTGTACATGATGTGGACTTACACTAAACATGTATTCATATATGAACATAGGAAAGTTGGGTCTGATTCATTCTACTATCTTTCCTATTCCCATCCTCCCTCTCTTCCCTTCATTCTCCCTTGTCTAATCCAGTGAATCTCTATTCTTCTCTCCTCCTCACTTATTTTGAGTTAGCATCCACATGTCAGAGAGAACATTCAGCCTTTGGTATTTGGGGATGGGCTTATTGCACTTAACATGATAGTCTTCAGCTCCATCCATATACCAGCAAATGCCACAATTTCATTCTTCTTTAGGCTGAGTAATATTTAATTGTGTATATCTGCCACATTTTTTATCCCACTGATCTGTTGATAGATACGTGGGTTGGTTCCATAACTTGGCTATTGAGCTGCTATGAACATTGATGTGGTTGTGGCACTATAGTATGTTGATTTTAAATCCTTCAGGTAGAAACTGAGGAGTGGGATAAC